ATATACTTTCTGCTTTTTTTTTTTTTTTTTTTTTTTTTTAATAATATTATCCATTATTAAAATTGGGGCATTCAAGTTTTTTATTATGACAAAATACACATAACATATAATCATTAAATTAAAACAAATCTCTTTAGATAAACACGTGAACATGGAGCAAAAGTCAAAAGGTACACGGTATACAGTGGAAAGTCTGGCTCCCTCTAACTCTTGTCCATCCCAGATCCCCTTCTTGGAGGCAGCCACTGTAAAGAATGAGGCATTTTAAACAGACTGCTTTGGTCTAATAACATGCCCAAGCTGACATTGTATTGCATTATTCTTCATGGACCTGCATGCAGTATGGCCTGCCAAGTTTAGGTAATACCCGACAGAGGAAAAACATAAACTGTGGAAGTGGAATATGGAGAGATTTGTGAATTGGATTTGAAAATTACTCAAAGTCCAAGTTATTTCCAGTAATAAAAGTAAGTGCTCTCTTACAGCAGTACTCTATTAGTGCCTTTTGTAAAAAGAGCCTAAAGTATAAGAACCCTCCTGTATCCTTAAGACATGTGAAATCCCTGTCTGAGTATTGCATAACTGCATACAGGTGCTGTAAAATCTGTAGCACACTGACCAAAAAGAATTATGTTGATGTTTGAACAAATATTTCCAGGCTCTGAAACCATCAGTGTGGGGCATCATCACATGGATCTGCTTCTCTCAGCCTCTGAGCCTCCACAGCCTACCTTGATGAAACCTTAGCGCCTAGTCCTTGGGTGGGGCACACTCAGGCATTTGGCCTGGAGAGTCTTTTGCAGAATGAACAAGTTGGATGAGGAGGTGAAAGGGATCTCCAGGAGTGCATGAGCACTTTTGGCCCTGCTGCCACTGTTGAGGTTGCGGAGCAGGAAAAGCAGCAGGGCAGCAGCAGGCTGTTAGGACTGAAACCTTCAAAGCTTGGGTACTAGGTTGATAGCTGCATGCAGTAGTAGGTCAGGCAACTAACTGCCCATGTGGTGAGAGTTCAGACTGTAACAAGGTGCAGGCCTAGATACAGCTTGCCACCGTAGGGGCTTCATCCAGTTTAAAAGGGAAATCTTCAGGTGCAAGAAAGGACGACGGAGACTGCACGTGGTTTTCCTTCTTTGCTACCTCTGTGTGACTGAGCATCTGACAACAGGTTTCAGCTAGCAGGGAAGAGGACAGAAGTTGGTAGGTGGTGTAAAGAAAGATGAGAATTGTTTTAGGAAAGGATAGAGAGAGGAAAGGCAAGGGGTGAAGAAGCTGTCTTTTTGAAATAGAAGTTCTTTGACTTCCACACTATTAGACTCTTGAAATGTGGGTTTCACGTTCGACTCAGTGTCTTATTTTCAGTTTCCTGATCCTAAGACTTTCCTACAGTTCTTGCTAAAAGTTCAGATTCTTTGGCCTCTATCCTAAAGATTCTCCCTCAGTCTAAAGTATACTGCCTACTGAATACTGGGGTAGTTTATAACGTGCCCAGGTGATTCTGGGAACACTCAGCTCAGGTCTGGGCTTTTACTTTCATCCATTCAGACATTCTGTTCAAGATTTGTCCTCTATTGTAAATACAAATTTTGAGAGTATTGGGAGCCTTAATTGCAAATGGTCTACTCATATCACAATTAAGAACATTATTTTAAAAAAGCATGGATATTCCTTTTTACCTGCTAATACCTTGGTATCGATTTTCTAAAAATGGTTTTTTTTTCCTATTGTATTTTTTTTATTTCATTAATTTCCAGCTTTTCTCCTTTCTGCATTTTTTAAGTGAAAAGCAGAATCTTAAGTATAAAGATACTGGGTTATCTCTCAGTTTCCAAGAACAAGATAAAAATGTTTTTGATTGTTTAGAACACTGGAATATTCATTCATAGTGACTATGAAAACATCAGTGCTGTTAATTTTTGCAAACAGAACTGCTGAGTGGCCTTTTGTTGTAATGGCCCTGCCATTGTAGTTGACCTGGACTAATACTCTCTGATTTTAAAAAATTATTCAGAATTTAGACAGTATGGTAATTGATAGTAACCTTTTTGTAGTTAGAACTTTTATAATGAGGATATAGCCATTGTTTCATCATCACAGCTATTTTAACAATTTAAAATGTAAACTAAAAATTTCAATGATTGTATTTTTTTCTTTTCAGATAGGAACCAAGGCTTTAGCCTTCTCAGCTCATTGGCTGGAGCAAACCATAGCATTGGGTCAGCAGAGACCTGTCACTCAGAGGTAAAGATTTTTCCTGGATCTTTTCTCCTCTTTGGCTTTAATTTCTCCTTGTCACTATGATTCTTTATACCAATTATTATTTTTTCTACTTAAGAAGTGGCAGAGAATATTGAAAATAGATAAAAGGAGAATATATAAAATGGTCCTCTGCACCTGGTACCTATTGAGAGAAGGCTAGTTCATCATGAGAACAGTAAGCCCTTTCAGGGCAATTTGGGCTGTTCCATGTTTTCTTGCTCATGGGATTTTAAAAATGTGCTAGGATTTCCTTGAAACAAAGTTTTCTTCGTATCTTCAAAAATGAAATAAAATTGATGGTTCTTTTTAAGTACTTCCTGTGTACAAGGCTCTGAAGAAATCTGAAGGCCAGATCCTTACCCTCAATGAGCCTAATAGACTGATTTCAGCCCCCTTTCTTCAAGGGCTTTGGTTCGAGTTTTCCATCAGTCAGTGTGCTGGAACCAAGAGAACATTAGACAGTGCCACACTGTCTTTCCAGGCATCTTTTTCATCAGTCTCTGAGCTGTTTGTGATATGATCATGTACTTTTTCACATTTCGGGTAAAACATGGATCTTAAACAAAACAAACAAACAATGTTTTTATAGTCCATAGCAAAATCATAACACTTCCTAATTTTTCCTTGAGGGAAAATACTCCTGAGTCAGTGAATTTTTAGCCGTTTATATTTTTTATGTAACATTGATCCTTCTTCCTTTTCTCGTTATCTCTAGCTTCTATTACTGCTTCTCGAAAGCCAGCCAGCAAGTAGAAGTGTGAGCCTTTAGGATTTAATTCTAAAGTAGCCTACTATTAAATTATTGCTTCTGTGTATTTTCCTCAACAGCAGCCTTGTTTGCCAGCAGCAGATAGGACTGAATCCCTCTTAGATCCTCGGGGTGGTGCATCTAACACAGCAGACGCTCAGGTTGATAACATTGTGGGTAAGTTCTTCCTTGGGCTGCCAAGAGACAGCTCTGTGGAACTTGGAATGGCCAACATATCAGGGCATAAATCATTTAGAGGGAAATTGACTCCAAACATGGACAAGGGAAGAAAATTGATAGTGTACCCCCAAGTGAATGTGAGCCTTGGCGATGGCTATCAGAAAAAGGAGGTAGAATAAATTGGATACAAATCTGCGGGTACCATTTTCTCTCTAATTCTCTTAGCAGGATTTTGATTCAGATCATCTTAGCTAAAACAGGACCGGGGGTGAAACAAGCTTTATATCTCCATATTCCATAGTTTTTTCATAGTATTTAACAGTAGTCAGAATTAATGGTAACAAGAATAATGCAACCTTCTAAGCCCTTTCATGTTCTTTTAAAGTTCTTTTATATTCACTTTCTCATTTGGTTAATGAAGTTTGGCAGAGAAGTTATGAAGGTGAGGCCCAGAGCAGTTCGATAACTTGTCTGATGGTATCTAACAAGAAGGTCTTGAAACTGAAACTAGAATCCAATCCGCTGTCCAAAAGCCAGAAAGCTGAGACACTTAGTTGAAATAACTATAAATGTTGTTTTGTTAGGGAGCTGCTGACATCTCTATTTTCTTTTTATGCCGTAGAGGGCCCATGTGCAGTAATAAATTTTTTAAACAATTTTTTTTTTATTATAAAATAATCCATGTAGAAAACTCAAGTGATTGGTTATAGAAACATATTAAGAAGAAAAAATTACATATAATCTTTTTTCTCTATAATTTTTCAGTCTTCTCCTTTGAATCGAATTCTTCCTATTGTTTTTTTATCGAACTGTAATTGACCTACAATATTATATTAGGTTCAGTTGGCTTTTAAACCTGCTAAAGTCTCTGCCATGAAAACAAACTATTAATCACACTGAAGGATGTAGGGAAGACAAGAACTAACCTAAGTAACTTGGGCAAACAGTATTCTGACTAGATATCATAAGGCTAAAAACAAAAATAAAAGAATAGAAATACTGAACTTTGCTTAATAAATTTGATTCTCACAGAGGTATGGGTTAGAAATTATACATATTTTACATATATTATGGTTGAAAAAATAAGAAAATACAGTGGAGATAAAGAGCTAGATTTCTCACTGTCAAAGAAGTTACAGATAAGGAAAGGGGAAGACTGTGATGAGCCTTTTGATGCTGGACTGAAATTAAAGGTATCGGTATGTACTCATGATTTTTAAAAGTATATTTATGGTTAGAGTGATAGAAAAATATACGTGTGTGTATGCATGTGTTAGTACATAGATATATATAAAGATATGAAATATATATGAAATATATATAGATATATTTTTTCCCTAGCTCTATCCACTGAGAAGGCCTAGATGCAACAATACTTCAATAGCAATGGATACACTCAGCACTTAGATCTTGGTTTCTCCAGTAAAAGGTACCAGAGTCAGGCAGGAAAAATGCAAGGTAAACCTGGAACATCTCATAGTGCCAGAAAATAAGAAAGTGCTCAAAAAAAGAAAGGGGACACACTGAAAGGGCAGAGGAACCAACCTGAAAGAGCTTCCAGTGGCTGAAGCTGGAAAATAAATTTATATAGTATTGGGCTATAACCCATAGAATAGAATAAATATTCATAAAGCCATACTGATATAAATAAATAATTAAACAAACAAAACAACTGCGAAAGAAAGGTCTGTTCCTCCTTGTGGAAAAATTCCAATTAATGTAGAAGGAATGAGGGAAATAGAAAATCACCATTAGCCACACACCACAGTAATAGTTGTTGCAGGCCAGATCTACTGATGGATGTTAAAATTAGTAGATGGAAGTTTGAAAAGAAACATGACATTTGCATAGTCTAAAAGTATCTCTTCCAAGATATTTATAACAAAAGGGAAAATAGTAACTTAATACTGGAACAACCTGGCAGATACCACTTTAAATTGCAAAGGTTCTATCACCAGTAATAAGACATATCGGTATCTTCTCTCCATTACGATGCACTGAGTGAGCACTCACTTCTCTGGTGTTCTTGCCAAAGGTGCGTAACCTCAATCTAATAATATGAGACAAACCAAAATTGAGGGACATTATACAAAATAACTGACCAGGACTTTTCAAAAGTGTCAAAGTCATAAAAGATGAGGAAAGACTAAAGAACTGTCTCAAATTGGAGAAGACTAAGGAAATTTGACAGCTCTATATAGGAAATTTGACAGTTCTATATAGGAACCTTGATTGGATCATAGGACCAAAAAAGAATATTAGTGGAAAAAGTGATGAAATTTGAATGAAGCCTATGGTTTAGTTAATAGCACTGTACCATTATTAACTTCTCATGTTTATAATGTGGCTATGTAAGATGTTAACTCTAAGGGAAGGTAGGTGAAGGGCTATTTGGAACTCTACTATTTTTGCAACCTTTTTATAAGACTAAAATTATTTCCAAAAAAAATTTTTTTAATGTAAAACCAAACCAACGGAAGTAAAACACTTCTTCAACTCCATGTTTCCTTTCTTTTTTTACTAAAATTATTTACATTCCTCACCTCCCATTCACTCCTCAACACATTCCCATCTAGCTTTTGCCTCCATTTCCCTCTAAAACAGTTCACCAAGGACTCCCATACCACTGAATGTAATAAATGCCTTCCAGTCCTCATCTTGGCAGCATTCAATATTATGGATAAATCCCTTTTCAAAACAATATCTTTTCTTGACTCAACCAACACATATCCTAGTTTTCTTCCTACTTCTGTAATTATTCTTTTTCTTTCTTTGGAAAATTACCCTCCTTTACCTAGCCTTTAAATATTGCCATTCCTCCGTATTCCGTCTGAACTCCTATTCCAAATCTATATTTAAGCACGAAATAATCTAGCCACATCCACAGTTCAGTTATCATGTATACACATAAATCACAAATTTTTATATCTAGCCCCAAGTACCAGCTGCTAGCATGACATGCCCATTGAACTAAAGCAAATTTGTTAACCAATTTTTTAACACCAAATTATCTGTATGGCATTGTAGTAGGTGCAAAGAATTATAAGTTATCATCCTTTTCTTCAGGGAGCTTACAGTCTAAAAATGCAGAGACAGACCTTGTAATATAACTGTTAAGGTTGTGGGCTTGGATTCCTGGGCAACTGGATTCAAGCCATGGCTCGACCACTAGTACCGAGACAACCTTGAGTAAGTTATTTAGCCTCCTTTGGCCCTAGTATCCCCTTCCGTAAAATAAGGGTTAACAAATCTTCCCTCACAATGCTGTTAAAAAATGAAATGCAATGGTGTGAGTAGTGATGCAGGCACAAAGTAAACTCTGTGTCTTACTATAGTAGTATTTATTATAGTAATGGTGGAGAGATGTCAGAGTACAAAGTAGCATATGTCAGGGCTGAAATAGTTCTGTAAACACTAAGTGTGGAATGAATTCAAAGGAAGGAGACGTGTGGACCAGGATAGTTAGGTAGGGCATCCTAGAGGTGGTTGGCCTGGAGTGGAGAATGAGTTAAAATTCTGGTTAAAAATAAACTTTGATAAGGAGGCAACATGCTGAGATAGAAATAGTAAAGGATTTGTAGTAGGAAAACAGAAATTTAAATCGACTCTACCTCCAAATAGCTGTAATTTTGGATGAGTTCATTTTTAAACCCAGGTTTTTTCATTTGTAAATTGCAGACAGTGACATCTGTCTTAACCACCATATATGGTTGTCAGTAATAGATGTGAAAATATTTGTTGTACAGTAAAATCTGGTATAAATTTCAGGCATTTATTGTGGAATCATTGTCCGTTAGTGGAGAGAGTGGCCTATAGAGTTGGGAACACCTAAGTCTAAATGCAAGATCACTCTTACTAGTTGTAACCTTGAGCAAGTCACTTCATCTCAGAGCTGTAGCTTTCTCATCTCTAAAATGGGAAGCATATGCCTTGCCTCATTACAGTATTGTAAGGATAAAATAAGTTACTGTTAATTTGTGAGGGCCCACTAGCAGCCAAGCAGGGTGAAGCTGTAAAGCTGGTACACATTGGACACTCATTCAGTGGTGACTTTTATCAAAGCCGGGATTGCCTTAGGATTCTGTGTATTTATCACATATATAAATAAAATGTGACAATGTGATGAATACTTATTTCAGATCCCATGTTAGATCTGGATATTCAAGAATTAGCCAGCCTTACTACAGGTGGAGGAGATTTGGAGAATTTTGAAAGACTATTTTCCAAATTAAAGGAAATGAAAGGTAAGTGAATCCATTGTGTCTAACACGTTTCCATGTTGATGCTCCTTAGTTTTATATGGGATTTTATTTTGTAATTGCTCATTGGATTTCATGCCCTGGTCTCAGCTATTTTGAGAAACTGGGGGACTTCGCCATCCTCTGTTGATAAAAATTCCCTGGAGAAAATGTTCCTTTTCATTCTCTCATTCTCCCTTCTTCTCTTGCCTGTTTTCTTTTAGTGTGTCTCGTTAACATGGAATCAGTAAGATCCTTACTAATTTACATCATTCCCATCTGGAAAATTTGGGAAGACTTATACTTCTTAACAGCTGTAATGAGTACACTATGAACATATGTCTTGAAACCTACCTCCCATCTTCTAGCGTTAGAATATCCATACACTTCAGATTCTCCTGTGCTGTTAGACAAGTTTCTTAAGATATATTTTCCCCCTAGACAAGGCTGCGACGCTTCCTCACGAGCAAAGAAAGTTGCATGCAGAAAAGGTGAGACAATCAGTCAGGTATTTATTGAGTATATATGAAAGGTCCAGTGCTATTAGAATTATAACACTTGTTTATTAATTATACTTGTTTACTTCTGAAGTGTCTTAGTGTGAACTTTTCATTGGATTTTAACATAACTAATTGAATGTGTATACAATAGTAATTTAGTTGCTGCAGTCAAACCAAGATTTTTCAAATGTATGTTGAGTGACATGGAACTTTCATCGAGACTCAGGATGTTTGCCTTCCCAACTGTTGGGCTGGAAAACTCTTAGTTATTTTGTTATGTTTTGTTATTACCAACGCAACACATATTCTTGGCAGGAAATACATATGGTTTATGATATTCTATTGTATGAATGTTTCATAATTTATCCAGTTCCCTTTTAGACAATTAGGTCATGTGAATTTTTTGCTTCTATAAATAGTGGACCTGCACATATTCTTACACATCACCAGTGTATGCAACTGATTACATCCTGAGTATAAATTTTCTAGAAGTGGAAATCCTGGGTCAGGGTATTCAAGGGTTTTGATATGTGTTGCCAGAGGGCGAGAGGGGCAAGGTGTAGAATTTTAGGTCTTGATCAGTTCAAAGTATGACATATGAAATGAGCTGAAATTTAGCTGTTGCCTGAAATTTGTTGCACACTCCTCTCCACAGGTGGCCAAAGCATTCTGGATGGCAATTGGAGGAGACAGAGATGAAATCGAAGGCCTTTCATCTGATGAAGAACACTAATTTATTCACACTAGGGTCTGACTAACAGAGATGGTAACTCTCTCAACCTGAGATATTTCCCTACTGAACCCAGTTAGCTTTTGCTGAACTTCCCATCATCATGTGGGCTGTCCGACTTGTTTATAGGATCCCCTTAATTTTAGTGTTAAGTAGAAGGTTAAAGAGAAAGTTTTTCTTGCTCAGTATATTGTAGTAGGGAGGAGTATGACGACAGTAAGGAGTGAGAAGTTTTCAAATACACTTTTTTTGTTCTAGGAATGGGAGTGGATGAGAGGCTCAGAGGTCTGTGATTTGCCCAAGTTGAAGAAAACCACCAAGCCATTCATAGTCAACCTTTTAAGTAGCATTCCTTGTACTCACACTTGATTACTGCAGGCCAGGAGCTTGTGCCACCTTCCCCGGGTGTTCTGGATTTTTTGCTTGCAAGGAACTTGCTGCTCTGAACTTTGATGCTTTTGGTGGGAAGAAAGGAAGCAGCTGCAGATTTGATTTGTGCCGTAGCATAGATGGGACCAAGGATAGTGGCCGTCAGATTAGTCTCTAGCTAAAAAAATGCTTCCGGGCATTTCAATTAAAATAGTGTCTGAGCTCATGCTAGAAAGTATTGAGAAGCCAGTGTGAATTTTTAGACTGTAATCAATGAGGCAAAGGTTTTCTACTCTGGTAGGGATAAAACAGACCTCTTTACCGTGCATGCGTGCATGCGTGCATGCGTGCGTGTGTGTGTGTGTGTATGTTTGCGCGTGTGCATGAGACAGAGAGAAACTTAAGGAATTCCCTGTATGGGCCATTAGAAAGTATGTGATCATATACTGAGATTTTTGCATTAGTATTACTGTGAAGAAACTCTTCTTCCTTAGAGTTCTCCCCGGTACTTGAAATGTCAGAGCTGTGTTGACACACTTTATACCCTTGATCCCTGCCAAAATAGTAACAGTAAGGGATGGGAGAGGTGGGAAAGGATGTGAAACATGAGGTAATTAATCCCTGAGTACCTTGTGTCACTTCCAGGGCTGAGCGGGTCAGCCCCAGGGAACCGATCACCAAAGGGAAACTTTCCAAAGGAAGAGTAGGAAACACAGCAAATAAAAATCCTTATTTCTGTTTTGTGTAGATGTTGTAATGCATATTATGAACCTTCACTGATAGTCACCGCCATGGCTCTAAATGGCACAGGCACCAGGGCTGGATGGTGCTGGCACATGGGCTGAGAACTGCTTCTTGGTCTAGTGTGCTAACAAGTAGAAACAAGTTTCAGACCCCTATGTGCACCATCTTCTAAGCACTGCAGAATGTGAAACAGATGGCAGAGGGAGTGGAGGGCTCAGAGTGCCAGGCCAGGGTGATCACCAGAGGGAGGTTTCAGTGATTGGAGCATTCAGGAAGAGCCAGTCCAGGCAACTTTGGAGACTGTCTTCCTTGGTGACCTTTTTTTCCCCTTCCTTTTTACTATTTAGAAAAGTCTTTGAGATGATAGTTTATCATGCCATTAGTGTCTCTTTGAGGTGACTGCATTAGCCATTCATAGGAATGTAAGGGAAGTTGAATCTGTGTTGCAAAATGAAAGGTGGAACATGTATTTCTTAAAACATAAAAGGTTTCAGATAATATATTAAGATCACATGGTTAGGGAAACAGACTAGAAAAAGCTGTGAACTTGATTTTGTGGATTAAACAAAGCCAGATGATTAAAATGTGACTTAATTTATAAAGTCTGCTAATATGTATTGTTATGATTTGTTGTTTTGTAATAGGGGATGTCAGATTAGGCATAAATAGTGAATAATCCAAGAATCTAAGAATTTGTCAAACTTGCTGTCTTGGAATCCATCATGCATATGTATAATATCAAGTCATATTTTCAAGACCTCAACTACTTGGGGATATCAGCACCTTCTAGGGGACATGTGGTATAAAAATGTCTAGTGATGGACAAAGGCCCATGTTGAGTAGTGATCATGAGCTAATGGTGCAAAAACAGTTGCAGTCTATCTAAAGTGACTTATATACGTACCATTACAAGTTATTATGGACTGTCCATCTGGGATTTAAAAGGAGAAACTTGGTTTTTCCCCTTAAACATTTCTCTGTTTGTGTAACACTGACACATAGTAGGCCCTTAATTTTGGTCTAGATTCATATTTGATAGTTCGTTGAATGTGATCACAAAGTTTGAAAGTCTATGCATGTTAGAAGATAAGGAGAGATGAGAATGAACTTGTATTCCACAAGAAAATCATGTGTTATGTAATAATTTTAGAGTGATGAAGACATAGATATTTTTATAATTTTAAAATTTGTTATCCTGCCAGAGTATGAGAAGATTGACAGAACCAATTTGTTTGCTCTCTATTAATAGAACTTGGCCACATCTAATTCAGAGAAGCTGGAGATTCAGGGAAGCTAGACTTAGATGGCTGAGTAATATGGGATGTGGTTCAAGGACCATGGAGCATGTCAGGCCATTAGTGCAAATTACTTATAACATATGAAATGTGAGATATGGCTAACTTTAAGTTCCCACTCTGGAGAAGTAAAGATAAGCGTGTTTGCATGGCTGATGTCGGATTCCCTTAACCTTGGGCCAGTCTCTTAACAATGGCCATCTAAAGAGTACGTGGAGTGCCCCTTGCCCTGCCTTGGCCTGCCCTGGAAAAACAATCTTAGAAGAATCACTGTCTAAGGGTAAGATGAGAGCTCCGTGAACTATTCTGAGCTTGAGTGTTTGCTGATGCAAAGCTATATTTAGCAAACATGTGTCTAGTGTGGTCAGAGGTTCTGATTCATTGAACGTTCTGATTGATGGGGACAGAGTTCCAGAGAATGCTGTAATGAGTTAGAGCTGCCCTTCACCCTCCCAAAATTTAAAAATAGGTAAGACAATTTAGCCATAGCATTCTGTCATTAAATACCAAATCTTATTCGAGGTTCGTAGGTGGAGAAAGCGTAGAAAATCTGTTCAAGTATACCCTTAGTATAGGGTTGGCTTGAAAACAACACCCTGTTAACTTTCCCATGATTTGTATGTCTCATAAAAGTAGTATGCTGACTGCAGGACAAAGTTCTAGTTTTGATTTAGATTCCACCTGGGGTTTAATTTAGTGATCCATGCTTGCATCTTTGACATGTAAGCTCTTGCAGAAAAGGTCTTAGAAATTCTCTAAGTTTCATATTTTGGGCATTACCCATATTTGTTACTAACATCACAAGTCTTGCTCTTAATTGAGGTATCTTTATTCAAAGTGTGTGTGTGGCAATTCTAGTATAGGAAGTGTCTTGCTCAATTCTGAGGTGTGTCTGATTTGCAGAATGAAGAATTAAGAAGATGTAATAGTGACAGTGTGGCCCTTTTGTTGGAACATCATTGAGCCCCATTCCAGCTCTTAATGATTTACAGTTCTGTGTTTCCTGTTGGAAAAATATCGATTCAAAATGTGGACTTAATGGTTATTACTGCATCTTTGGAATACAAGTTTGGGAAGAAAAAAACTTTTTTCCTCTAGAATCCTTTAATATCTGTATGTATCTGTTCATAGGTTCAAATACTCTCTCCCCATAACTATAAATCTGGGAGGCACAAACAGGTCAAATATAGCAGTTCATGCCCAGCCTCCCTGGTTCTCTCTTATAAAGGATGTGACCAATTATTTCCTCTCCCCTTTCTTATCAACCAGATGGCTTTAATGCTGTAAAAACATGAGCTAAGTGAATCCTGGGGTAGGAACTTTATGAAAACAGCAGCATAATTTGAGAAAGAAGACTCTCTTTGAGCCCAAGGACTTGGTGTGCATCAATCTTGCTGCTCCAGGAAATTCTCAGGAAGTTATAAATGGTGAAGTTAGAACGTCTCAAAATTAAAGGTGAGAAAAAGCAACTGTAACCTATTTCTCTACCCTGGCGAGAGCTGAAATAAGAATCAGCCGACACCAACTAGGAACCTCCTTGTGCCAAACTGCAGCAGGCAGGTACGGCAGAGTTTGCAGACCTGTTAAGGATGCAGGCTCTTCCCTAGGAGATCATCGTCTAGCTCAGGGGGCCATAGGGGGCACAGAAGGTAGAGTGTTGAGCAGACTGTGAAGAGCGCCGTGACCAGCCTTAATTGCTGTGGGAAGGAGAGAGTAGAGTCGGGAGGAGCATAAAGTGCACCATGGAGCAGTGGTTCCGAAACTTGAGCCTGGCGGGCCCCACTCCAGAGTTTGATTCAGTAGGTCCAAGGTGGTGCCTGAGGATGTGCGTTTCTAACATCCTAGGTGTTACTCATACTGCTGGTCAGAGACCACACTTGAGACCCTCTGACTTAGAGGAAATGATGATTATATTGAGCTGGAAGGATAAGAATTTGGGCAGGTAAGGTGGGTGGAGGCAGCAAAATTCTTAGTGGAAGTTATGGTATAAACAAAGGTTTGGAGATAAGAAAGCGAAGGGTTACGTTGGGAAAACCCCAGTAGATGAATTAGAGAAATGGTGGTAGAGACATCGGAGAGAACTTTGAAATCCTATTTTGTGGAGCCTGCGCTTTACTCTGGAGGCAATCAAGGTGCCAAAGGTTTAGAGTAGAAAAGATGTCTAACCATAGTTACATGCCAGGAAAATCTGGCAGTAGCATTAGCCAAGTCTAATTGATGAGCACTGTCTGCCTGAAGAGCTGTGTTGAGGAGGATTCTGAGGCTGAGGATGGACCCAGCACTGTGATTAGCAAGTTTTCGCCATGGATAGAGAAATAAGAGAATAGTGGTAAATTAGCCACATAATCTGCCATCCCTGGACTAGAAAAGGACAAATTAAGAGAATGTTGGAATGAGTAACTGTTATGAGAGATAATTAGGAACTATATTCTGGTGGCATTCCTTCAGCCATATATATGGACTCACTAAAGGCTAGCACAGTGGAAATGGATGCAAAAGATATTGCTAAGGTAGAATCTACTAGATACAGGCTCTAATTGATTCATTCATTGAATAAAAACTACGTGGCAGCCAAGAGAAGCAGGGGATAATAAAATATAAGCTCTGCTCTCAAGGAACTCATAGCCTAGAGGAGAGAGCCATACAGTTAATACAAGTTGAGAATGTGGTGATAGATTCATGAAAGGCTTCCTAGAGATGTCCAAGCATTTGAGAGATGAGTCTCAAAGCATTAGTGAAAGTTAAGTGAACTGGTGGTACATGCCAGAAAGGTCAGGGGCGGGGGTTATAGATTGGGGAAGAGGGGTTCATGTTCCAAGCAGAGTCTAAGGAACATGTTGCTTGGTTGCAGAGTGTAAGGCAGCCAACTGTGAGAGCTATGTAGAGGCTGAATGAGGGTCAAGTGGTCCACATTCAAGACCTTAGAATTTATGCTGTGCATTGGGGTGAGAGGGTGCATCTAGGGTCAGGCAGATTAGTGGGGGTGATGTAAATGATGCAGTTACAGGAAAACAGACTGCAGTTATCCAGGTGCTAGAGGACCTGTTGTATAGGGCCATGAGAGTAGAGAAACAGGACTGTTTGGATGTGGGGAATGAAGAAGGGTGGATGACTATGACATCTCTGGCTGTAGGGTGAGTAAATCGTTGAGCCAAAAATGGGGCTTGAAGACCAGATGAAAGAGATGGTTTAATAAGGGCAATGTGAATTCCACTTTTTAAATTGTGAGTTTCAGATATTTGTGGCATAACTCCATGTACCAGTAGCCAGCAGGTTATTGGCTACAAGTTCGAAGCTTGGGATTGATGTCTGGGCTGTAAATACTGATTTGGGAGTCATCAGCATTTATGTGGCTTGAAATCACACAAGTAGATCACTCTGGAGGAATTTCGAGACTACATACAGTGGTCCAGGAACACCAACCCAGAAGGAGTAGGCAGGAAGAGCAGGTTTTGGCCCAAGAAAAAGAGGAGATGGTATGAGAGGGCCAAGGAGAACCAGGCCATTCAGGGAATAGGACCTTTCCAAAAGGGAGGTTTGATCAACGGGCAGCTGGTGATGAGAGCAAGGAAAAATACATCAGGCTGCTCAGGACTTGGAAAATGGGGAGTCAAAAAAGGGAGCTAGCTCGAGCAAGGTGGAAGATGATCCAGTTTGGGGGGGTGTTAAGTTTCAGATCGTGTTTAACAGGCAGCTGGTATTTAAAGTTGTGGAGCTCAAGGAACAGGTTGGGTTAGAGGTACAGATTAGAGAGTATTTCTGAGAAAATCAGACTGGATAAAACCTTGGGGAATATTAGGGGCAGGAGGGTAGATCTGGCCAAATAATCAAAGTTAGGAATTTGATGCCGTTCTATTTTGTGAAGTCTGTGCCTCCCTCCTGGTATGAGGGGGGGGGGGGTGTTTGGACTCTGGTGAGTTCCTTAGGAGACTGCTGTAAAAGTGGCTCTGCTAAAGGACTATTCCAGTCTCATTCTGTCACCACTCCCTCAGATTCTGTTTATTCATTTTAATCATCCTGTTTCTTAATCCACATCATCTTGGGTCAATATAAGATTCAGCCAAGGAAGGAATTTTGAAGTCTCTTCTTGGGAGTTTCAAATTTAAGATGAATTTTCACAGGAGCTAACAGGAAAAGTCACCTCAGCTGGAAAGTGGAAACCTACTTTTTCACGAATCTAAAACTGCCTCTATGCCTGGGGGAAGATTAGTCTGGTGGCATCTAATCATTTGCCAAAGGCCTTCAAGTACAGGGAAAATGAATACAAATTGACACTGCAGAGACAGCATCGATGGGACTTGTGCAGTGCTTCGATGCGGGAAGCAAGGGAGCTGTACTACATGGGGGACTTTTGAACTTTGCTTGGCTGACACTACATGGTACCCTTAGTAAGTGAATGAGGGCAGTGGGGTATTACATGAGGCTATGGCAGAAAGTGGCCTGGCACACCCTTGGTCAAAGTGCACTTGGGCTTAGAGACATCTTTCTCCAGTGCCCTGCGTTCTGGGGATCCCTTGTAAATCTCCCCACCCAGACATGGCAGCAAAAATGAGACTGAGCTCCTGGCACAGGAGCTTTTCAATGAAAAGTTTATTAGAAGGGTACTTGGAGGGGGAGAGAGGACACAAATCTTTTAACAATATTACAATGCTTAAACAGGTGCTCTGCTCGTAAGATACAAAAGTTAGAAAAAATCTAAAACACTATAAATACGTACATGCTTTTTACAAAGGTATTAAAAGGTCAAGCTGGCTGAGATGTGAAGGTAATCAGCATCGTCCACGTTCTAGTCCCCCAGCAAACACGCACCAAGAGCGTCCCAAACAGAACAGCCAAGTTGCAACAGCAGCGAGGGTGAGTGAAGGCGTCTTGGAGAAAGGGGGCTCCAGCCCTCCGTGTAAAGTTCTCACCCCTAGGAAGGGCCTGTCTTTGACTCAGCTGCCTGTTCTTACACGCTGTGACATGCTTGGTGAGCCTGGGCTGGTGTTTCGGATGCTGAGCCAAAATGCCACTGTGCCCTCAAGCCACATTCTTCCAGCCACTGCGCTTGGGAGGAGAGACCTTTCCAGCTTTTTTCAAAAAATTAAATATAGTTGTCCATCTTGAACGGTTTAAAGAATTATATAAATATAAAACACCAGGATGCGAGAGTGTACATTACTTGAGCATAAAAAATAAGAATCAATTATTGAATCACAGAGAATTTCTCAATCCAGTTTACACAACAGGTGAGTTTTCTTGGTTTCTGCAAAGTTGCCTGTATGTCATCTCCCCACTGACTGACACCCATCAGAGATGCCTCTTCATTTGTGATCCATGCCCTCTGTATACATTTTCCTACTATCCCACCTACTTGAGAAATAGCCGATACTCCATAAAAGGGTGGCATACATTGTGAAGACTGTTCCTTGATGGGGTTCTAGAAGGGAACATTTATGCCACACCAAGAAAAATAGTACAACTTAGCAGGCTGAGGCTTTCTTCTAGGGAAGTGGAGACATGTAGATTTCTGGGAGCATTCCCAACTCTGCCACTCAAAAGTCACACAGTAAATCACAGGGTCCAGAACTAAACTCGTGCCCTCTTGCTACTGGTAACCCAGCCCATGAGCAGTCTGCAGCTTCCTTTCCCTCCCTCTCCTTTTAAGGACTAAGGAGAGCTGCCTAATATGAGCTCTTGCCCTGCAGGGAGCCTCTGAAATGGCAGCTTGGAGCTAAGGATGCAATCAGATATCTGCCTTCTCACATACATGCATGACGTGCACACACTAAAAGAAAACCTTTCTCTGCGGTTTGAGTAAAAGCACTTAGCACTGGAATATGTCCAAACTCTAGGAAGCCAAGAGGAGATGGAGAAAAACAAAACAAGCACAAGTAATGGGCTACAGCTCATTCCAATACATTAACAATGATTTAAAAAAATAATCACGGTCAATAAAAAAATACAACAGACAACATAAGGACAATGGAAAAGTCTGCCAGCAGCCTTGCCCTCATGTGTGTTCTTCCTAAGAGTCAAAGTCCCCGCTCCAGACTCTAGGCTTGTCTTAAAATGTCAGCTCTTCTACAGCCTGCCAGGAAGGTGGCCAACTGAGATGATGTTCCAGCACAGGCCCGTAACCGGAACCTGCTGGGGCGGCTACCTAACGTTTGCGCTGGAAGGATCTAAGTTACTAAATAAAGTTCGAAAGGGGGAGGAGAGGAAAGGGAATGGAAGTTGGCTCCAGGGGAGGTGCTGTGAGGCAGAGGACCTGTGCCCCATGGCTAACTACTCTCACTCTGCAAGGTGAAGGTGGCCAGGCCGGGAGCCTGGGGCAGGGGAATAGCACATCGGTGCATCCTGGACAACTAAACGTAAAACCACTATCCAACAGCTACTGTTGCCCCTTTCAACTGTCCTTTAAGAAAGTTTTTAAATGTATAAATGCCTTTCATACAACAGGATTTAAAAAATAAGTTTTGTGACAAAGTAAGGACGCTAAAGTTACACATGCCCCAAAGCACCTACACAGCCTCTATGATGAGAATGGCGCCAAGTCCTCACCTCTAGGTGCGAGCCTACCTACAGTTTCCCTTACGCTGCCTCCTCCAGCAGTCTAGTCTATAAAGAAAAAAGACGAAGTAGCTTTTGGAAAAACTAAAACTTCCTGCCTCTTAGCAGTAGCCTTCAGCTCTGAGCATCAAGAGTTCTAAGACATCATCCAAACGTAGCCAAAAATGATCATTCAATCACCAAAATTAGGCTGTACCTGAAGCTAGTTGCCAAGTACCTGGAGGACAGCTGTGTGCCATAGGAAGGAAGCCCTCACGGGATCATGGAGTAGGTGGAGAATGCAGGCCCTCAGAGGCCAAAACGGAATCATGCAAACCATGAGTTTCAGACCTGACCGGAAACATGAATGCACATCCAGGAGGTTCAGATGGCTTCCTGTATCTGTAAGAAGCAGTCCACAGATCATTTCATGCCAGGCACAAACTTCGGACACAGTATTTGGCCCTCTCAGGTGGAACAAAGGGTTTTGCATGGTCTCTGAGTTGTGTGTCAACATCCCTGTGAGAAGACTAGCACAGTTCTAGCAAGGTGCTCTGTCTCTTCCTGTGTCCTCAGGAGGCTTGGCAAGCAACTCTCCTACCTGGAAACCTCAAAGACAGAGCTTCAGAGGCGAAGGTTCTTGCAGGTGAGGCACCAGGAAGTCCCCAACATCTCCATATAGCATCAGAAATGTCATCACATTTGAGGTTGAGATACCTGCCAAAAGTATACTTTCTTCCCTTCACCTGGAATAAGGACTTCCATAGGAAATCCTTTTATTTTTCCTGGTAGAAATCCATGCAAAAATATGGGATAACTCATTTCATACAAAAACAGCAGCAAAGAATAAAGTACCAATTGCAAGTGGCAATTCTGTCTGCTGTATTCTGCACAAGACCAGTAAAAGGGCTTTTTTTTTTTTTTCCAAGTTGAAATAATTTATAATAGTTTTCTCACTAATTGCCACTGGGAGCAGTACTTATTACACAATATAACTGCTAGAGTTGTCACTGATAATCCTCTACTGTGAACTAGATAATCTTATATCCCAGGGGAAAGATGACAGACTTCTTTGCACCAAGCCTGCAATTTTCAAAGGTGTAAAAAATTTTAATAGCCCTTTCATTTGCCTATATTGGCCTGAGATTTTTCCCTTCTGGTGAATTTGCTTCTGTTAATTTCAGCTTCCAAAAGTGCTGGCAGGTGTCTTCTCAACAAAACCTGCAAAGCTTCACCTTGGGAGAGAAGTTGCTGGGTTCCACTCTGGTTTCCCAGTGAATGTGCCAAACCCAGGATTTTCTTAAAGTATAAAACAGACATTAAAAGAGCATATGATAAAGTTCATTTAATTAACGCAACTGACTACATAAACCTATGTAGCCGAATGCATGAGAATATGAAATGAGCTCTTACGACTGAGACCCACGCAACGTAGCGCTGCCTTAGCCTGAACACCATCATTCCACAAGGCCCCTTGCTTTGTGTGAACACTTCACGTAATTAAATCTCTTTGAGATTAACGTGTTAATATAAACTATGCATATGCACTGAGTTTCAGCAGATCCTTCTAAATGTTCAAAGTGAAAAAGGACAAATTTTCAAGAGGTCTCTCTCACTGTCCACCTTTTCTCATTGTCCCTGCCTGGTCTGAATACACTAGCTCACAGCCATCAGTATGTTCTGAGGGGGAGGAGACAGACGAACCCCTACGCACCCCAAGTCAGTCCAGTTCCCTCCAGGACAGGATCTGCGGAGGGAGTGCTGGGGCTCCCCATGCTCAGCTGTAGAGGATTTTGTCAAAAGCGCCAGAAGCCTGGGCATGAAGTTTACACCCCTGCAGGCTTTTCCCTACCTAGAATACCCAGAGTAACTCCACTCTCCAGTCCTGAACACATGGCCATTTCCTGTTGGACAGTGACATCTCAGATTGCTGTCACTGAACAGGGAGCTGGGGAGGAAGGGGCAGGTGGTGACATACTACCTGTTTGCTCAAGCCACCAAAGCAGAAGACATTTCTTGCTCTTCAAACTGGGACAAGGGCAAATGTGTTCAGCAGACACAGCTGTTCATAAGACCATCTCTGGGTTTGCCTTTGTGCTTTGGAGAACAGGTTGGTGCCACTCTGTTTGAGGGAGAAATATTTCTTCTTCCTTGATGACAGTGAGTTGAGTTCCAATTTTCTCCACCTCCTACATGGCCATTTTCCCCCAGCCCGCCCTCCCCCACCCTCCCCCTTCACACCCAACGTCTCTAGGACACACTGGAACAGCGGATGCTTGGGGAGCCCATCTGGGTGAGGACCTTGTCAAGCCATTGCAAAGGCCCATTCAGGTGCAGCTCGATCCAGCAGGGGGTGCTGGTCACTGTCTGTCTCCTACAAGACACAGGAAAAGGGGTAGGGGACTTTAAAAATGTTTAGAAGGTCACACCTATAAGAACGCCTTTTTCTTCTTTGGTGACAGTCTTCTTCCCAGAGCCAGTGATAGGTCCTGCCTTGCTCTACCCCGAGTGCCTTAGAGGAGGCGCCAATAACTGGCTGAAACTTCCAGGCCACGTGCCTCCAACCAGGAAGAACTTGGGGCAAATCGGTTTCTCCTGATGGGGGATGAGGTGGCCCTTAAAGTGTTAAACATGTAAAGCAGATTCCAGGGTACCCTGGAGGCCCACACAATGCTGTGACAAGCCCCAGACAGAACTTCCAGCCTGAACAAAGGTCTCCCTGGATCCCATCTGTCCTGAATGGGCACCCTGGCTCCCCTGTCTCCAGACCCGGGCCCAGCCCCAGCAGGCCGCGATGACGTGTGTCTGTCTGATTGAGGGGTGTTTTTTACAAAGTGCCGACAGAGTCCACATGCCGTCGGTTCCCAATGTGCTGATATAATTCCCATCTATGGCCTTATTTTGGAAAATCTTACGAGCAGAGCGAGCCATGAAACAATTACTGGAAAAAACCAAGGCACACCACACGTTTCTTTTCCCCAAAGCACTCTGTCTAAATTCGGGCTGGTTGATGACGCAGCTCACAGGCGAGCGCCCAAAGGCCTCCACCGAGCAAAGGCTATCTGCCTAGGCCGGAGGTGCTGGTGCCAGCTGGAGGTGAGAGGCCTGGGCCCTGGGCCCTGCTTTGGGCCACCTCACCGAGAGAAGAGATGAAACCCTACTCTGCTTGGCCCAAGAGGCAGAAGGAGGGCAAAACTGTTCTGGGAAGGGGCCGCACCCACCAGTTAGGTTGCTCTGTGCTGCTGCCAGGTGGCAGTGACGTGGTGGGCCGCACAGCACTGGGTGTGCTGGCACCATGTCCTGCACGGTGATACAGTGCCCCCAGGGAGAGGCTTCCACCACCAAGGGGCCTCTTCCCAGTGCTTGAAGCTGGAGGGCTGTGGTGCCGCACCAGGTCGAGGGCCGCTGGCCCGAGGGCACCGCCCTCTTTGCTTCGCCCCAGTAGAGGGCCAGAAATGGGAGTGCAGACTCGGGCCTGGGGTTCCTGCCTGATCTGGGTGCCTGAGCATGGCCCTCTCAACTGCATTCTGAGTGTCAGAAGACCAAATGGATTTCCCTCTGGCTCTTTTCCGTTGGTCTATCTTTTAATATTTCCCTTCCCACACAAAAAAATATTAATTTTCTAACCTTTCAACTCCTGTTCCCTAAGTGATTTCAGCCAGAGCTAAAAGGTGGGCTAAACTATCCCTTGGGCTCGGCATTTGGGCCTGGGCTGTTCTCCTCGGGCCAATATAACTGGGTTGTACGTTCTGAGGTCTGACCACTCTGATGGCTCAATTGGTCACTCATCCCGGATTTCAGAGAGACGCCCACAGACCAAGGTGCTTTGTTCCCTGGCACTGTAGGGCAGACACTGGGAACAGCAGCTAAAATACGGTAAATAGAAGAGGATTTTACGGACCGAAATCCTCTAATGAGAATCTGACTTTCCATAAGTCATGCTCATCTGGATTTCATTATAAACGGTGGCCCAGAGCCAATATTGAAATGGGTTTGGCTTGGGTGCAGAATGACTGCAAAACAAAATGGATTCCAAACATCTGGAAAAATGAAGAGAAGGGGAGAGTAACTTGCAAGGCGCTGGCTCCTGCTGACGTGTGAGTACCTCTGTGTCTGCCTGGGGGGCTGGGGGCTGGGGGCTGGGTGGGCGGAGGACGGACACACAGCTCTGCCTCAGGAAACTCCCGTCCAGGTGTGAAAGAGAAGGGACTGGAATCTCTAAGCCTGAACCAGAGTGATCTGAGAGAGTCAACACAGCAGACCAGGTCGACCCCCTGACCAGTGTCGGGTTTAAACCAATATCTGAAATTCTGAAAGACATCGTTTCTTTTCTGAGCAAGTAAACTTTGTTCCTTTATGACTATCCAAATCTCCTCCTCCCTCCCTGCATCTCGGTTATTTAACATTCTAGATCCTCAGGGTCCCCCGAGTCAGAGATGGAACCACAGAGGAGGGAAGGAACAAGGAAATGAAAACTTAACTTCGTGGAGAGGGTCGTCCAGACCCATCTGCCCAAAGTGAACAACGAGGAAGCAGCCAAGAAGGCGCAGTTCCAGGCTCAGCCTTTCCATTAACGGTGTGACTCTGGGCAAGTCACTTTCCCTCCCTGGACCTTAGTTCCCTCACCCATACAACAGGGATGATGCAATGTCCCTAACCTAGGGTCGTGGTGAGGGTGCGTGTGTGTTTACAGCACGTGAAAACCGTGAGGCCTGTCAGCACTGGGCCAGCTCTTCCTTATCTGGTGCGACTCGTCCCCACCCCCAGCCTGCCAGGCCATGGCCTCTCTCTGATCCTTGGTCTCTCCTGTTCGGACAAGGGCTGCCTAGCTTGTCTCTGAGGAGCCCCTGCTCTGCTGTTCTGACCCTGGGACATGCGGCCCCCAGAACTGACCTGTACTCTGCGCCCCAGCCTTTGACGAAGCTCATGCGGATGGTGCACATGCGCGTCAGCTGGTAGACGGCCTCGAAACCTTGGTTGACAGACTGAGCCAGGAGGGCGGCGAACTCCTGGTTGTTGAAGATCTTCAGGTTGCATCCTGCCAACAGAACAAAAACTGCTCATGGGGACAGACGGCAGACATGCCTGGTGCTCCCCTCCTGGCTAAAGTCACCCCTGGGTCACCCAGAACAGCATAACTGACAGAGCTGAACTGGTGCACATATTCCATGCTCAGCACTATACTAGAGACGGGCCCACTTGGTCCCTGCCCTTAAAGCCATTGCCACCGAAAAGGAGGGGGTGCAACTGACATACGTGAGTGGGGAGAATTAAACACTGGCAAGCTCTCCAGCTCCTAGAGCTGTGGGAGTACTGGAGAAGGCGGTAAAGTGGGCTACCAAGAACACAGAGATCGTTTAGATGAAGGGGCCCTGCCCTGGGCAGAGGGGACAAGGCAGGACTCCAGGCAACAGAGACAAGAAACCTAAGCCAGAATGCTCACAGCCACATGGGGTATGGCCAACCACCTGGGGAAGAATGACCACCCTGCCGTTCGATAGAGGAAGTGCTGGCAGAGACAGGCCAGCTGAAAGGCTGCTCAGCCTCTGCCATTCCATCAGGAAGCTCAGCGCGGGTTCCCAGAGCATCTCCCACCCGACTCCTCTGATGAATCCACCTTGTGTTAGGGCCAGGAGAGAGGGAGAGATCTGCGCCACATTTTGGCCTCCGGGCACAAGGCTGGGTAGAGGTAACATTCACAGCAGAGTGAAGGTGTGTGTCTAACACTCCAGGCAGTAAAACTAGAGACAGGCACAAATAAAGTTTATAATAAATCTTTTGTTTGAAGTCCTACCACCTGAGTGCCAAGAATGTGTCAACCAGAAAAATAAAGACAAAAAACACATGCTGAAAATGTCCAAAAGGTGAGCTGAGGTAACACTTATTAATGGGCCAACACCGGGCTCCAAATCTTGCTGTGAGACTCTGGGCTGGTCACTTTCTCTTTGTAAACCTGTGTCTCCTCTAAGAAATGAGGGAGGGGCTGGCCTCGGAGGACCCTGAGCACTGACATTCTATGAGCTAACAGACACCACCACAGCCAATTCAGATGAGGGGAGGCTGGGGAAGGGAGTGGGCCAAATGCCAAGAATACAACCCAGCTTCCTCTTCTTGCTCTCTCCATGGGGAGTGTGGTGAGGTAGAGCTGAAAGCAGGCTCTGGCCTCCAGCTGGGCCAAGAATAGAGGAGCACAAGACTTAGGAGTCACATAGTCTGAAGCTCATCCCAGCTCTGCCACTAGCTGTGTGTCCTTGGACAGATGGCTTAACCTCTCTGAACGTGTCTCATCAACATGCCTTCTCAGCTGAAGAGCCTGAATAACTGGAGAGGACTAAGCCAGAGCAGAGATGTAAATGTACTCTGTAGACACAACCACACGATGCTGTGAAAATGGAGAGCATCGTTATCATTTCAAACTGTCTGCATTCTTAAGATGACTCTCCCCATGGCCCACTGCTTCACTATCAACTGCTTTTCAATGGGCAGGAAAAGACATGCCACACGTACACCACAGTCAACGGCCTGACCTGGGCCACACACTCATCAGCCAGTCACAGTCCACATTCTGCAGGCTGCGTGTCCAGTGGCTCCATGCCATGTGAGAAGTGGGCTTTGGCTGAAACTTTCTACCTCAGATTTCTAAGAAAAGAAGCCTAGATGAGAACAGCCTCCTGCCTGGTCTTGCTGTCTAGGCCACCCTCTGGGGTAGAGCCCAACACCCTTTCTTGAAGTACATGTGGAATTCATCAGCCCTGCTAAGAAAACCCTCAACAGTTCCCCAGAATGAAAGTGAATTTTTGTCACGTCCTTCCGTGGCCTGGTCCCATCATGCTTTCTAAACATTTACCCTGTTTTCTACATGGTCTCTCCTCTAGACAAGAGTGCTGCCCATAGGTACCCTGCACTCCATCACCTCAGGGCTTCTGCCTATATTGCCCCCACATCCAGAATGCCCTCACAGTCCCCACCCCACTATCGCCCTGCACCTAATGCTTCTCCTCCAGGAAATCTTCCCTGATCCATCCCAACAGTTTTTCCCACCGGATCTAGGAACACCTTATCTGTGCTTAGCACACTCCCTTGTATTAAACCCATTCATGTTTTCGTGTTGTACACTCAGCAGGTCTGTAAGGCCTATGGGGACAGCAGCAGGGCTTCCTGCTCCCCTCTGTTCCCAGTAGCAATGCAAGGTGTGCGTGTCTGTGGAAGGAAGAAAGGAAGGAAAATGCCTGAGCATCTGTGCACATAGGTCAAAGGCAGATCCGTCATACGCTGCGTCTGCTCCCTGCAGCAGGTTCAGGGAGAGCACGGTGAGACAGTAAGACACAGAGAAAACCCAAACGAAGCACCTTCAGGTTGGCAATGAAAACCCCGATGAGGAGATGTCAGGGGGAAAAAAAAAAAAAAAACCTCTCCAAGTCCCACGCACACTCTACAGGGGAGAGGATGCCAGGGAAGGGGTAGATGTGGACGTGACATTACCAGGTGGGATCTTGCAGACGGTGGCCGGGTGCCAACCATAGCGCTGGTTACAGTTGGGGGACTGCACGAAGATAGCGCTGTCGCTGAGGCACTCTGCGAAGACCTCCCCTCCGATGTAGTACAGCCGCACGCCTCGCCCTAGTGAGATTGGGGTCAGACAGGATCAGGATGCCTGGCCCCACACAGTGGCCCCAGGGCCAGCCATGGCTAGCAAAGGGAGCAGATGCTCCAAGTGACTGGTTCTTTGCCAGCTTCACCAGGCACAAGAGGCCCAAAGCCCAAACCTAAACCCACACAGGGAACGACAGGCAATGCTGGGTTCCTAAAACCGGAGGAGGCGGGTGACGAAAGAACGTGGGGTAAGTCTCAATGATAGCCTCTGCCACTGACCAGCTATGGACCTCAGTCCAGTCACTCTACCTCTGAACCTCAGTGAAGATGGGGACAATAACAACACCTCACAGGGTTGTTGTGAGATGCACACAGTTAAGTGCCTGCTAAGTGTCAGCTGCTAGTGCTGCTTCTACTAGGGCCCCTCCCCGCAGAGATTCAGAAATTTATTCAGTAAACCCGTATAGCTCCTCCTGAGGCAGCACATACCCCAGGAGCCCTTCGCTGCAGGGATGGCTTAGTGCCACCCCTGTACCTTTCTCCCCTCAATGCATGTTCCTAAAACATTCCATAGGTTTATATCACTTCTCCTTCATCTCTTAAATCCACTCCAGATGGACAATTATTTTTAAATTGGCTCTGCAATTCAAGCAGTTACGTAAACACCCTGAGCTCTCCATGCAGCCAGGGGATGCTCCCTTCTCCTCCACGGGAAGGGCTCTGTTCCCATTCCTGGAGAAGAGGCCCAGAGAGCAGGAAAATGCGGCCAGATTTTACAGGCGCAACGTCGAGTAGGATGAAAACCAGGCGACGGACCTATAGGCCACTAGAGGTTCTCCCGTCTCCTAGTCCCACTACTGTCCCATCCCCCGCCTGTGTCCCATTTCTTCTGGGTTCAGGGTTACAGGACTTGTGTCTCAGACGTGCAGAGTGATGGCGGACTCGTGGTTCATAAGAGCGAGAGAACAAAAATGGGGTTTTTTTGTTATGGTAATTTTTGAAATATTTTTAAAATATAGAAAAGTATAAAGAGACTCAGTAACACCTATGTATACCACCTAGAATCAGTATCTTTTTTAAAGTTTTAAAAAAAAAAAATTAGGGAGGCCATCAGGGAAGGACATAGGCTCAGTAGCGGGCGGGGGTGGGGGGGGGTGTTGTCACCAACTATGTCACACTGCGTGTCACATTGTGATGTCCCTTCCTGGGCATCAGATTATTCCCTGGAAAATGGGCACACCAGCCTAGCCCCATGGCTTTCAAACTTTTCTCTCTTAACTATCAAATCCTGCCTTCAAGTGAAATCTTCTGTGAACGTCCAAAATACAATCCGAACGAGCAGAGGTGCTCTGGTTCATGAGGGCCAGACCTGCTGCCCTGCCTCGCTCCCGACTTTGCCCTGGACCAGCCCTGGGGGCTCCGGACAATGTCCGAGAACCCCTGGACGACATCTGAGAATACCCTGCCACCCTGTCTCTAGGGCCCTTCTAAGTGACTCTAGATCACAAAACCAGGCATATCCTCGGTATGAGAATTTTATGAGCAAACCAACTGATAAATATCAAGGCTTCACCTTCTCTAAACTAAGTGATTTACTATGTTCTGGGTGTTAGAAGACAGAGAGTCAGCAGCAGGCAATTCTTAATTTTCTACCTTTTCTGAATTTTCTAGAACAATCACACATGAAATTAACAAATAAAAGATCACTCCTCTGAGACTGATTACCTACTTACCCACCTATCAGTAATTTAAGGGCATATTTACTGAGAATCACATATATTGCCTTTCTTATAGATTTCCCTTTCTTGTCCCCTTAAGTATTCTGCGGCTTTCAAATTTTCAGAGATGATTTGTGTCTGAGTAGGCAACCTGAACTCTACCTGTCAGGCCCCTAAACAAGACAATACAGAATTTGGGGGTGGGGATGGGAGTGTGAGTCCCCTCTCTGGTTTTCAGCAGGGAGTGGGTCGGGCTCTGTGCGGAGCCTGGGCTGGGGCCATGGGGGGGGGAGTGGGGGCAACGCGGCTGCCCCTTGCCCCTTACCGATATGCCTCCGCGTGAGTTCCACAGCCGCATTCCTGTTGACATTGGAGAGTAGCCCCAGGCAGAAGCGCTCCGAGTTGGAGGGGTCGGTGAAGCCGTCCACTGTCATGGAGGGCTGTGAGGCGTGGAATGTCTCCCCAACGCGCTGGTTCAGCTCGTAGTAGGAGATGGAGCACCAGAAGGCTGGCTCGCAGTAGGTGACGGGCTGCAGGTCTAGGAGACAGGCCAGGCTGCTGGGTCAGTGGGGCTCCCAGGCCCCGTGCTCCTCCATGGGGTCCCTGGATGCTCCAGAACATCGTTTCTCCACCTCTCAGAGAGTACTAGAATCCCCGCCCTCAGGCCTTTTATTGGATAACACTTGCAGGATCCAATGGGACAAACTGTTCAGTTTTGGAGAAGCATTCCGCCAACCCTGCCACACTTCATTTAGTTTTAGCTTGTAAAGGCCCTGCCCCACCCGGCCTAGCCTTGGATTGAAGCAGTCTTTAAGGAAGTACTGGACCTAATCTGACGAGGGCCAGACTCCAAGCAGCACCGAGGCAAACCCACCAGACAGGCCTGGTGTGCTCACTGCTGTCGGGCCACCTACGCAGTCACCTTCCAGCCTCTCTTCCAAGGTCCTCAAAGTAACCCATGCTGATCTCTGCCCCCCAAAGGGCTTTCAGCTTTTGGCTCTGCCTTGTCATGGGCAAACACCCGGCCTGTCAAGCAGCAGTGTACAAGCCTGTGAAATAACAAGGCTGGCACAGCCTCGGGGGTCTACGTCTCTTATCACAGAAACCATCTTCCAGATGTATCCAGATGCCATCTGTTGGAGTGGCTAAGACACAAACTCATCTAAAAGAAATTCTGAATTTGTCCTAGCTGGCAGTCTGTAGTCTCAAATCAAGGGCCCCGCAGAGCAAAACGGCCATCTTGTGAATGGTGGGTTCTCTTTCTCAGAAGAGTTGGGAACCCCTGAAATAGAGGTTTCACATGATCCCACATCACCTTTCCTGTGACTTCTTAGCCTTCCTGTCACTTCCAGCTATTCTGGGCTCCACAGCTGCCCAGGCACCCCTGCCCTCCTCCCACCCATCTTGGCATCATCTCTCACCTCAGCAGGCCAGCGCACTTAGGTTTGGGCCAGCCCCCATCACTCCTTACTTGAATCCACGCCCCATGTTCTAACAGAACTCCCAGCATTCCAGCCTCTTCCAGCTGCTTCTCTACACTGCTACCACCTGGGCTGGGAGCGCTAAGTCCCCCCTTGCCTTGCCCTCTGCCTGCTTGAATCCCACCCATTTGTTGGAGAATCAGGGACTGTCCTGCTCATTCTTATACCTCCATCTTGGACCTCCAGCCTGGATCACTCGCTCTGACTCTTACATATATTTGGAACCACCTGGTTACTTAGGGTACGACTTTGTGGGACCTAGAGAGAGGGACAGCAAGGGCTCACCAAGCCAAGTCTCAGCACTGACCCAAGACCCCTGCTCCCTGCCTTTTAGGCAACACCCCAGGGCAAGAACCCCCCAGAAACCTCTGCTCATCAGACCTTTGAAAGTGTGTAAAGCCCAAGAGAGAAAAATCAGCAGCTGTTCTGAGAGGGGCCCGGGTGGCTCCTGCAAGGCAGCGTGGCCCCGGTCTTCTTCTGGGCTCTGCGCCCATGATCTCTGCTTTAGGTAAAGAAACCGCGACCACACATAGGAGGAGTTAGAGACCGATAATATCCCTGCACTCAACACATACCCAGAAAGTGCCAGCTGGGGGGTTAAGATGCCTAGATCAGTTTTCTCAGTCTTGGCATTATTGAGAGTTTGGCCAGACAGTTCTTTGTTTGGGGGAAGGGGAGATTCTATACATTACAGGATGGTTAGTAGCATCCCTGGCCTCTACCCATAAGGTGCTGGTAGCATCCATCCATCTCATCCTCTCAAGCTGTGACAATGAGATGTCTCCAGATGTTGCAAGATGTCTTCTGGAGGACAAAGAGCCCCTGGATGAAAACTACTGCCCTAGATGTTAACCAAGCCATGGAGCACAAGCTTTAAAGCCAGGTGGACCGGAGTTCACTCCACTCCAGCATGGACAGCTGTGTGACTGTGAGCAAACCAGTTACATTCCAAGTTTCAGTTTCCACATCCTCCACCTCCCAGCTATCTGAGTGGAGAATCTTCTTTACCTTTCGGCTTTATTTGTGGATAGACTGAGAGAACTCACATGAAGTGCAGGGTACACATCAAGCACTCAAGAAACAGTGTTAATAATTATAACTTTCATTATTTGAACTTGAGAACATCCTGTTCCTGTCCCGACCTCCATCACAAGAGGAGCAGTGTCCTTGCCCCTTACTCTCTTTCCAAGGTAGAGCAAGGGAAGATGAGGGAAGGCAGATCTAAGTTACTCAACGGGGAAGGGGGAGTTGCAGGGCAGCGCTGACCGTGGCCTGTGCCCGAGGTTCGGATGAGCCACGTCAGCCATATCCGGCTCAGGCTTTGCTGGATGCTTCAACATTCCAATGAGATAAGCTATATTCTAAACAATGTGGTCACTAAAATGTGAGCAATGTTGCTTTGGAAACCTTAAAAAATAAATAAATAAATCCAAGTGCCGTCCAAGCATTCGAAGTGGTCAGGCAGCATGTCAAAGGAAGAGGTCCTGGGGAAGGGCTGCTGGCCACCACTGCCCACAGGCAGGCTCTGTTCACTTCGCTGTGTGACCCTGGGGATGTGACCTCCCTCTCTGGCCTCAGTTTCCCAGTGTGAACAGTGTCTGCAGTGTACTAAAAGACATCTAAAGCAGACCGTCTAAGTCACTGTGCTTTTGGCATGGGTCAGCCTGAAGAGGCAGCTATGGCTGATCGGGGATGGACGTGGCTTCCCTAGCAAAGTACAGAACAGCAGAGTCCGCATCCCAAGTTATAAAGCCTTGTCCAGCAGCCCCTGGGCTTGGTCCAGGCAGAAGAGAGAGAGCTACGCTCCAGCTCCCAGGAATACTGCTAAGACGTCTAAGTCACTGTGCTTTTGGCATGGGTCAGCCTGAAGAGGCAGCTATGGCTGATCGGGGATGGACGTGGCTTCCCTAGCAAAGTACAGAACAGCAGAGTCCGCATCCCAAGTTATAAAGCCTTGTCCAGCAGCCCCTGGGCTTGGTCCAGGCAGAAGAGAGAGAGCTACGCTCCAGCTCCCAGGAATACTGACACAGCTTACCTGCCAAAAAGAAGAGAAGCCAGCAGGCCACCCATCTGGTGACGGGGTGCCGAAACCTCACTCTGGGGACATATGGACTTCTAGATGTCTCAGGATCAGAGCGCGACTTGGGGTCCAAACCCAAGAGACCCTTCCAGGCAGATCTGAGCCTTTAATCAAACATCCCTATAATTGCAGACACGTACTGGAGAGTGTTGCGAAAACACTGGTTGCAGGAGCCTGACACGTAATTAGGAAGTTTGGGGGAGCAATGCAGTCAGGCCAAGGCAGGTTTTGAAGGCTGCCACTTCAGAAAGGGCTGTTTGGACAAGCTGACCTGCATTCAGAACTGGAGTAGCACCCCCAGCCATGCATTTATTATTCTCTGCAAACAATCAAAAGCAGCCCTGCCTTCCACCTCTCTCCCTTCCATCGCCCCTCAGCTGCTTCCTCAAGGCACTTCTGCAAGAGGAGTGCACACCAAAAGGCAGGATCATCACCTCTGGGTTCTGCCTTGAGTGGGACTTCATTTTTGAACTGCACATATGCCCTCGTTTCTTTCCCACCAAAGGACTTATCCGCAAAACGGTTAAGTACAAGAGAGACAAAAAGTCAGGACCCTGGAAAAGAGAAGACTGTAAATGGTATAACCATGAGATTATAGCTACTAAAAAACATTCAGTTTGGCTTTGAGCTTCCTAGCAGACAAGGCAAAAAAACAGAATACACTACAAGGCTCTGGCGGGTGGACAGATAATTCTTACTAGTTCTGCAGGGGAAACAAAGCTTGTCCTAGCACTAAATCTTAAAAGAAGTCTGTCAGGTGGTAAACCCTCCCCGCTATCAATCAAGCCGGCCAACCAGCCCTGGTTTCAAGAGTTTCCTCACAAATACAGAAGTGATTTTACATAAGGTTGCATCTTGAAAATGACCTGAAGACATGCCATACAAAGGCTCTTCTGAGAGGACAACTTTACAGGGGTAAGGTGACTTGCCCCAGTGGAGAGTGGTGTTGCGTCTCCAGGCCAAGGACCTGGCACACCTGGAATGGTAGAAGATGGCATGTGCCCAAGTCCTTTCCTTCAAGCAGCCCTGCTCCCAGCCAGACTGCTGAGTCTGTGCTAATCTCTGTTCCTGGAGAAGAGGTGTTGGAGACGCAGGAACCTCCAGCTCCAGCCATTCTCGGCCCCCCTGCCCCCACCAGGGTGATGTCGGCCAGACTTCTCAAGTGGCATGGGGCACTTAATTCATGACTGGCCCCCTGCCAGCCTTACACATTGGCTGGCTTCAGTTTTGAGCCCTATTCCAAGCTGGCATAGACTTTCTGTTTTGTTTAAGGAAAAGAAAACAGAATAAAACCCAGAAGGCAACACTTGGATTAAGGGATGCCTATTAAAAACATGTGCGAGAAATCCAGATCCGGTAAAGGGAGGGGGTGGGGGGAGGCCAGAGGGGAAATTAACTTTCTACTCTAAATCGAAAGCAGGGAACAGGCAAAGGCCAGGAGCGCCGAGGCTGGAAGACTAAAGGGCAGACTTGAATAGACTGGCTTCCTCTGGGCCCTCCTCACTGTGGAAGCCGTCCTCCCTCAGACCGGGAGGCTCCATGCTCCAATCCCCCTGTGCCTTCACGCTGCCATCTCTCAGTCCTTACTGTTCTCTCTGCCTGGGCTGCCCATTTCCAACCTTCAAGGCCCAGAACACGCGGCTGTGAAACACTGCCTCGTCCGAGCCACCTGTGAGAGTTAGTTCCTACGGCACTAGGCCAGCTGTGTCCCAGCGTCTGAGGCACCAATTCCAACCTATCTCACTAAAGATGAGGGCAACACACCAAGGTGTACACAGAAAGAACCCGTCACGCTTTCGGCTTAAGATTAGTTTACCAAAACCAAAAATAGTGGCGAATTCTCAGAGCTAGATCCTTGGGAGTGTGAGGATACAGCCGGCAGCTGAATTTGTCATTAAGATGCCTGTGATTTCCCAAGTTTACAGAAGATCAGAGCCTGAGACCTTAAAATAAGCCTTGTGCAGCAGCATGAACACACCTGGAACCACACCCCTATCCTCTGTCAGGGGCCAGGGTCTTCTTGCTGCTTTGCCACCTTGGCCCGTCTCTCTTGGCAGGAGAGGAAGGCACCCTCTGCCTGAGGCACTCTGGGAAACCGTCACCTCCTCAAACTCTAGCTCAGGGCACTCCCTAGAGCCTCGTTTCCCTCGGTCAAGGCCCACCCCAAAATGTCTCACTTTAAAGCACAGAACAACTTACTCACCAGCAGGATCCAGATCGTTATCTTTTTCCTCTCTCCCCACCTCCCTTCTCCTTCCCCTCCATTTGCCCCAATCCTCTGACTTAAATGCTTAGGAAATTCCAGGTGACTCATTCAGCACCATGTGTAATAACAGGAACATCACCTGCTCACATCCCTTCCCTGAAAAACAAAGCCCTGGGGTCTCCCAGAGCCTCTGGCAGGAGGCTGAGCTGGCTCTCAATCACACATTGGGGCTCCCACAAGTCATCACAAGTGGCTTTACTGTGGCAGAAGGCCCAACCTTTTGCCCAGAGTGGGGAGGAAATGAAGAAGGAGCCAGATGTCCTATGCTTTATTTCTTTTTGTATAATAATTTTTTTGCCAAGAAATAATCAAATGTCCTGAGATGTCCCCATCTTTCTCTAGGAAGAACTCACTGTGTGCCTGTCATCTTCCTACCATTCGGGACATACTGGTAGGAAGAAGAAATGCAAAGGCTGCTGCTGTGTGCTCCCTCCCCGCCTCCACCCTTTATTTGCCCTTTAGCCCACTGCTGACCTACTTCGGCCCCCACCTTTCCCCATATCTGCTCTCCAAAGGATGTCCCTGAACTCCTGTTGTCAAGCTCAAGGCCTTTTCTTACACCTCATTTTGCATCTCTGCAGAACCTGCCCTGGTGCCTCCCTCTCCTCCTGGCTGCTGTGGCCCCATCCTCTACCTGACCCTCAGCCTCTTCTCCAACCCTGTCCCTCCCTGAGGGAGCCCCCATAGGTCTGCCTTTGACTCTCTTTCCTTCTTGAGCTGAGTCTCCCTTTCCACTGAACTCATCCACTCCCACGACTTCAGCTGAACCTTCATCAATGTTTCCAAAGTGAGATCTATGGGTGGTCAGTAGGACTGTAGGAGAAAAGTGTTCCAACAGTGGTCAGATCCGTGGGAGAAATGCTGATCAAACAGGCCTCCTTTCTGCAGAACTTCTCAAGAGGTTTTACTATGCTAGTGCCCTAGGGGCCCCACAAGAGGGTACAATACAGGCTCTCTAAACTCACTTAATGACAAAATCCTGTTCCTCTGATCCCACTTTGGGAAGGCTGTCAGACGTGCTGCTGGCTTCCAAATCTGTACCTCCAGCCCAGGCCTCTCTCCTGTCAGCTGCTTCCTGGACACGGTTAAGCAAAGGCAACTCACCACCACCTTCCAACCCAAACCCACCCCATCTCCTGTGTGTCCTGCCTCAGTTTAAGAGGCCTCACCAGCTAAAACTGGTCAATAAACCCTGCTGATTCATGATTCTCTCAAATGCCCTCTCCTAGCCCTGCTATCATTCTTCTAAAGCATTTATTTCAGCCTCCTTCAGCGCAACAGAGTCCTAAGTGTTGGTTGTTTTTTTTTTTTTTGCCTCCAGTAATTT